ATATATATATATATATATATATATATATATATATATATATATATATATATATATATATATATATATATATATATATATATATATATATATATATATATATATATATATATATATATATATATATATATATATATATATATATATATATATATATATATATATATATATATATATATATATATATATATATATATATATATATATATATATATTGAATTGAATTAAATGTGAATTATATATATATTATATATATGAGTTTTAGCTTCTTAGCTTTTTTAGTTGTAGAATTATTAGTAATAATTATTAATAATCCGTATGTTATATACAAATAAACGCGTTTAAGGAACCAGAGAATTTTGTAAACCTATAACTGATAAATCAACAAGATAATGAATGGAGGCTATATATTGATGCAAGAAACATCATAATATAAGAAATCAAAGATATTATCTATATGTAAGTTTGCCATTATGTGTATTTTGATCAAAATACAAAATGTATCGACTTTTGCGATAAGCCAAGTTGCGCGATATTGTACATTCAATCGCATATTGGTTTTGATATCTAACAATAAGTGTGTTCTTGATATCAGTATGTCCAATAAATATCAAGATTCACAATTTCGTTAAAAAAGCACGCAAAGCAAACGTCAATTAAAAATATATTCTTATAATTACATTATTGTATTATGCACATTAATGCTTTTACTTCATCATGTAATAAAACTGGTAAAACTGGAAGATGATTGATTGCAAAATATCAGTTTAATATTTTTTTAATTTCAATACGTTTCTAGTAAATAAATCCAAAAATATTTAAAACACAAAAAATTAATATAATCATCGTGACTTGATAATATCCTGGCGCCTTTGTTATAGATTATATTGCCAGATTATAATTTAAAAAATTAATAATAATAATTAAATAATTTGATTTAATTAACTTGTCGCGTATAAATAATAACATCACAAATGTATACAATCCGTATAAATATTTACCACGATCAATTCTCTTCGCAAATGTATATGGAAGATATTTTTTTTTATATTCTCAACTTTGCGACAAAAATATTTTTAATTTATATTTAAAAATATCACTCGGTTTTTTCAGATATTTTCTTTTTTCTCGCAAAATATTCTATAGTAATATTATTTTATATTATATATTTTTAATGTAAGTTTTACAAGATTTTACGTTGACGACTCGTTTTTAAAATAAAAACTTGTACCATCAACATACATGATATATTGACCGATATTGGCAGATGTTAATTAAGACGCTCGCGATACTTTTGGTATTTTGAGTGAACATGCTATCATTTACTTTGCGGCAGCTTGCTCAACGCGAAAGTTACATACATATGTTGTAGGTCTTCCTTGCAGCCCTCACACCCGGTAGTAAACCGATCCGTACTCTATTCGGTATATCGAGTTACCACGTTGTTGCGCGCTGCGACCGGAGAACCGGTCCGGACTCTCTCTATGATGGACTTATCGCAGTGAGCGGCTCCGCAGCATGAACCGCGAGAATATTCCGTTGTGCTGGAGGGATGCGAATTCGGGATTATCGCTATTTTTCGCCACTTTGTGCATCGTTGACATTTTCGGTGTGTTTCCGATAATCGCGCTACCGCGGTCGATCGTCCAATGCGGTGAGTCTTGCACTTTCCATAAAAAAGATTGCACTAAAATGTTCATCGAAGAAAAGATTATTAC